GGGGCTGGGGGGCAATGCCCCCTCACTCGGTGGGGCAGTGCCCCCCCCCCCCACTCGGAAATCGGGTATGAAAAATTTAGATAAAGGGCCTGGCAACCAATTGTAATAATGGGAAAAATTCTGTAAATTTTGTGGAAAATATTTTGATTTTTGAAAAATTATGTTAGGTTTTGGAAAAATGGAGTGTATCCGGAAAAATTTGTATGCCCGGAAAAATTTTTTGACCCCTAAAATGGTACACTGACCGAAATTTTTTTGGCGACGGGGGGGGGAGGTCGCCAAAATAAATTCCGGAAGAAAAAAATTTTCATCTCAAACGGTCGGTTACATTCTTTCTGGAGTGAGTGCCCCCCCAGAAATTGAGAGCCAGCTACGGGCTTGAGGTGAGGTCAAGAAAAACGTAATTAGGCATCTAGCAAGTATGTCAAAATTATATTCCTGAAGCAATTTATCGTCTGTGCACTTTTGACGGACTCTGGGAGAGAATTCCACAATTTGGGTCCTTGAAATAGGATGGTGAACTGCTTTACATTTGTTCTACATGCATGAGCTCGGTATGAACTCGCATTTCTGGTGTTGTAATCATGGATTTCATTGTTGGTAATAAACAGATTGAGAAAAGAGGGTGGTATTAGCTGATCGTGGTAAAAAAAACATGAATTTACCAATATGGAAGGAATTAAGCTTATATATATTGAGTATTTTTAATTTACTAAATAGTGAAGAAGTATGCGCCCGGTAATTAGAATTGTACATTACTCTGACAATTCGTTTCTGTAATAGAAATATGCGACTTAAATTGGAAACATAGGTGGAGGACCAAGCAGTGTTACAATAGGCAAGTTATGGGTAGATTAACGTGTAGTACAATGACAATTTAGTACTAGCTAACAAGTAAAAACGAGCTCGATAAATTATGCCGATAGACTTAGAAATCTTTTTACAGACATGACTAATGTGAGGTTTCCAGGTGAGATTCTCATCCAGAAAACCCCCCAGAAACTTAACCTTTGGTTTACGAGTAATACATTTGTCATCGAAAGAGAGAGATATATCATAAGAGACTTTCTTATCCTGGAGTGGAAAATAACATAGTCTGTTTTGTCAATATTAACAGAGAGTTTATTTGCTCTCATCCAAGAACCGATTCTTTGTAATGCTTCGTTTAACACTGCAGCTAGTACCACAGGGTGAGAGTAACAGATGCTGGTATCATCCGCAAATAGCAAATTCGCTTGTGTACTCTGTGAATTGTGATTATATTGTCCTGTTAAAGTTTGGTGTTTCAGAATCACATTGTCTTGGAGTTATTTGGATTTTAATATTTTGGTCGTTGGTTTATTTTTGAATTTATAACCTTGTCTGGAACTCTTGTATAATCGTTGTCTTTTTGCGTATTTTCGTCGTTCGTCGTTGCTGGATTTTTATCGTCGCGGATTTGTACTTGTCTCTTCTGTAGGAACATTTTGATGGTTTAAATGTACTTTTGAATCCGTAGTATAGCCGTGCGTGAATTAGGCCAAGTAAAAAAAAATAGTAGTTTCTCTTCCGAATTTTGAAAATAAAGGAGACATCGAGGGGTTTTTGGTGGTTTTTTTTTGTTAAACCTTCAAACATTGCAAAGTTTACCAAAATAGCCTATAAACACACGCAAATATTGAAGTTTACTCATAAAACGTAAATATATTAACATAGACAAACAGCTTCTTATTGCAATATGGCGCCAAATAACAATATGGCGCGAAAGAAGGCGCGAAGTACCGAACAGCAAGCGAGAGTTGACGAATATTTCCGAACGGCAACCGAACTTTGCCGAAAGGAGCAAAATGGCCGAAATATACTAATTAAGACACTATGAGTGGAAATTCTTTGAAAGTCTCGAATATACAACATAAAAATAGAAAAATCCATGCGGCAGGGCGGAGACGAGAAACTACTAATTCTTTTTACTTGGCCTTATAACTGACTCCTGGATTTTAACTTTTTCTTGTATATTTGGATTTATCGTACATGCGAAGCTGAAAGTTGGTCAGTTTATAGATATCTGTGTCATTATCATCTTCGGTAAGTTTTCAAGTGTATACAGCTATTTCAATTAAGGTCGACCCCCGAACAAAGCGGAAAAGTCGAATACGAACGTGAAAGGCTGCTGGGAATCGCTAATAAATTCATTCATTTATTAGCGATTCCCAGCATCCTTTCGCGCTCGTATTCGACTTTTCCGCTTTGCTCGGGGGACAACCTTAATTGAAATAGCTGTATGTGTTAAACATTTTAAACTATATACAACGGGATTTGTACTTTTCCAACCGTCAAATTCTCGGTTAATTAATATTCTGGTTTCGCGAGTCAATTGTATACATTTCATCAGGGGATTTCCAATACCGCGGAGAAACGTCTGCGCATGCGCGTGCACAAAAAAAATGGCGAGGAATTTAAATGCCAAATTGTAAACAAAAACATGGCTATTTAATGATTTAAGGTAATTGAAACAAACAAAAAAAGTGCTAATCGGGTAGTTTAGACATGAATAAAAATTTTTAACATTTAAAATCTAAAAAGAAACAGAATTTAAATTAAAAATTACCGAGTGCCACAGTCGGCTTGATACCAAGAAAAAAAATCCACAAGCTACTCTTTGAGGACAGAGTTTAGTCAGTATCCAGGAGTGAACACGGAACGTTTTAAATTGTCGTTTGCAAATAGATTAATTTTTAACTATAACCTATTCATATGATGTAAACTTTACTAATGTATTCTTAATATATACTTGTAACATAAGATATGTATTTTTATCTTTTGATCTATTAAAAAGACTTTTGAATTGAATTGAATTGAATTGAGTTTAAGACCGGGGATTTCTTGAAAAAGGAAAACTATAGAGCAGTTAAGCATTTGCACACGATTAAATTGTAGAGCAAATCGTTACCCCTAAATATAGTCAACGCAAAAATTATACATGCTGCGCAAAAAAAGTTATTGACAAAAAGTGTATCATATGAACCTACGAAAAGTATCTCTGTATATGGCTGAGTTAATTAAAGAACGTTTTATACAATAAATTTATATATAGACAGTCACCTTTTTTGCCTTTGGTTCATTTTCTTGCATAATACTACATCTTGCACTATGTAGACTGTAATTATTTCTAGTTCTTAGGTTGACGCGTTCATTATTCCGCTAGCATTTTTACGGAAAAGGCATACAAAACATCGAAGTCGCTTCCATTTTGAGATTTTGACAACATTCGGAACACTTGACATCACGTTCGCAATGCGCGCCGTTTGCTGTGCATGACATCGAAAATAATAATATGCATGTTTGACGTAAACAACATATCTTGTCTACAACTTTGAGAAGGTACAGATAAAGCTTTCTAAAATCCTCAGTTCTGCATGTCTCTATAAAATCACAAGGACGTTAATGCTAAGTCTTTTGGTTATGTCTCTGGGCCGAGAAATAATTCTTTACATGCGATCAAAATGTTTTATACAACGATGTAAAACGGTAATGTTATGTAAATATGTTCAGCATTTAAATTTCCAACACAGTTAATTTCTGAGACGTAATTCAAGAGGTAACTTGTCATTGCAGTTGAACCATTATATCAGTTGGTGTTATTCTGTGTAATTAGCGAGTATATTGGAAAGACCGAAAGAGAGCTTTCATATATATACGTTGAAATCACCAAATAAACAGCTCATGCACACATTTCTCCACTTCGTCGTAATTTATATTTGACGAGTATGTGGCCATTTCTCATCGTTACGATTTAAGAAGAGTATCATTGAAAAGCTGTTCTTTCGTCCTATGTAAAAATTGAATTGTTTAGCCACGTTTATGATGCACGACAGCCTGTTGAATTTCCATACCGTTTTATTTGAGACACCCTGTATATATAGCTAAATAATTTTATTGCCTATATCTATCCATCTATTTTCCTCCTTCATAAGCTTCGCAAGAAATATGATTTGTAAATTTGATAAACTTCTTCCTATTTAATATTTAAGAGGGCGATTGCTTTATAAGATGTTTTCTTTTTTACCGCCACGCAGCCAGGCAAACAATGCTGGTAAGCCAGATATTTAGATTGTGGTGGAACTTTGGCATGGCCACGAGTGAGAATATATCTTCGTTGAGGACTTTTGCAGACATCACAGACACGTACCAAATTGACTGGATTGCTCGAATAGCTTGCACGGAAACTTGCTTCTGACACTACAAGAAAATTGACACAGATTAAAGTTGTGAGATGTGATAATCACTTTTTCTTTGCAGCTGAGACATGTACAGGAAAGAACCAAGAAATATTTATTCAAGCCATTTTACCACTAGGAGAATGTATGGGCACGAAGCTACTTTTTTCTTTGTCAGCATCGCTTGTCAGCATTCCTTAATTAATTAAATTAATAGACAACTTGCATGTTACACTAATTTTTTTATTTAGGCAAAAAAAGGAAACTTCCGTAAAGAACTTATGAAAATCAGTAAAATTGCAAAATTTGGTTGCGAAATGTTGTAAAATACAGAAAATATAGCCTTGCGAAATTTGCATATTTTCAGTATGTTTGTATTTTCTTTGTTACCATTTTTGAGCCGAAAATGGTAACAATTTCCGCACGTAATACAAATATACTGAAAATATGCAAACTTCGCAAGGCTATATTTTCTGTATTTTACAACATTTCGCTACCAAATTTTGCAATTTTTTCTAATTTCATTTTGTTCTTTTTAACTGTTGTGTTTGATTCCGTTCTCTTTACTTAGATTAAAATTTAGTCTAACATGCAAGTTGTCCATTGTTAGGATCGTTTAACGCTTCAGCAAAAGCTATAACCTGTCAAATTTGGATTACCTTTCTTTTGGGATACCCTGCATGTATTGTCAGTATCTAGACCGATTCGAAAAATAGTTGTCATTTCTATTCTTCCGAAATTAAGTTCAACCAAGGTAATCAATGCCACATGAAAGAATACTTCAAGATAAGTCTTACAAAATATAAATAGAAAACCATGTACTCTCTTTGAGAACTGATTAAATTTTAAGTGAAACATACAAATTAAGTTTTCCTAGATTCAGCAAACAAGCCTGACCAGAGGCCGCGGAGGCATTTCGAAAATGGAGGGGCATTGGCCAAAAGGGACACTTTTGTATATGACCAAAATCAAACGATTTTATATCGTTCAGGAGGCGAGCGAAAATTTTTGAAAATGTGGAGTTTCTATAACGTCGGAAATGGCCTTTATATACAGAGTCTTTACTACTGCAAAAAGTGCACTTCTTACCAACAAAAGAGGGCGTACGTTCATTCAAGAAATATTTATTTACTGACTAGTCTCGTTCTAATTAGTGCTTTTTGAACAAAATTATAAGTTCAAAGGACTATAATTTCTTCTCTGTTGAAAAATTATTTGTTTGCTTGGTCATGCATAAAATATAAAAGTGCAAAATTTTTCTAGCTAATTTTCGAATCGCTCAATTTATGAACGGGTTTTATGATAGGTTGACTATTTATAACAATAAAATTATTGAAGAAACTATAGTTAATAAAAAGTTAATTATATTCGTATACGGTAAGCTGGACTAACCTATGTTATTTGTTATGGTTTTATACAGTTTCGTTTTCCCGTAATTTGAATGCCCACATTTACAAGACGTGTGATTGTAGACTACATATTTATACAACTTCTTTTTATTGCTGGGATCCAGATCTTTGTTTCTTATATCCGGAACCACAATCTGAATTTCTTCCGTTTTCTTTGGCACGGGATATCCTTTACAACTACTACGGCATTCGCCCACCTCCACTTTAACACAACGATAAACTTCGATGAAATATGGAGGTCTGAATGTCGGGGTGCTAAAGTCATCCCCGTAAATTGAGACAACTTCTCTCTCTGGCCCTAAACAAAATAATCAGGTTTAGATAGGTTTGAGTAAGGGCTAGTCGTCCGGCAGTTAAAGCACTGCAAAAGAAATGAAAATACTAGGCCTATTTAAATGCCAAATTCAGTTTGAAACGGGACAAACCCTACAGCCCTGCTTCGAATAGATGTGATCTCTGCATGCATGTCTGTGGCAAGAATACGTTATTATATGTAAACCTAAATTGGCTACTTTGAACAAACGTAATGAATTCGTTTCTTCATGCAGACATGCGAAAAAAATTATTTTAACTAACAGAGAGAGACACATTTTTGTTTTAAATATACGATTAGTTCCGCGCTGTTGTCCATAAATGGTTTTGTAAATAACACGAGTAGGCCCTACTGAATAAAATGGTTGCAGTCAATAACACGAGTGGAGTGCAATACGAAGAATGCCGTATAACTGCGCGTAAGGTTCATATATGAGGTTTACAAAGTACACAATTGTCTGAACTCTTTCTCGACGACTTTGTATGTTCATATATCTTCGGTTCAGTGCTAGGTTAGTTCAGTGCATGCTATGAAGACATATAATTAATATACCACCAATCGATTCAGTGAAACAATATTGACTAGTTCCTCACAATAGTTTTAGTCATTATCAACATGGTAGCGATTTATGGCCTTTGAAAGCCAAGCGAGATCGTGATTATCAAATTACGCAATTGTCTAAACAACTATAAACTTCGGCCCCTTTGGACATATCTTCATTGCAATATTCTTGTTCGAATCATTATCACTAACTACTGTGTGGAGTGTTTATATTTTCAAATTTGTTTTTGTATCTTTTAGTTTTATCACGGTATATAAAAATTTCCGATTTTGGCCCGACTGTGAGCTAACAACAATAAACTAGCAATCACAACTGGAAATACAATTTTAAAACGTCAACAATGCGACGTTTGTCACGTTGTGCTTGTGCTATGACTCTGGAAATGCCAGAAATCGATTCCAAAGTTCAGAGTGCACATCTATGCTTTTATATGCTCAATGCCTTTTATTTCCGAGTGCTACTATTCTATATTCAGTAGATGCATGTCCGCCACAGCGGACCTATGTTTTTCGCATATCTGCATGAAGAAACGAATTCATTACGTTTGTTCAAAGTAGCCAATTCAGGTTTACATATAATTGATAAAGATGCAGCATTTTTGCTACAGACAAAAATTACCTATTCGAAGCAGGGCTGTAGGGTTTTGGCCCGTTTCAAAGTTTGGAATTTAGCTATAATCGGCCTATAGTATTTTCATTTCTCCTGCACTTTAAATGCCAGAAATATTTACTGAGTTCGGTGGAGTTCCTTTTCTCGTACAAATGAACTGACGTTTTGTGGTTGTAATATCTAGTTTTAAAAGAGTTTTCAGTAAGACCAACGTATACACAATGGACTCGACCAAACATTAAATAATTATATTTATATAATAATAATAACTATATATGTAATAACTCAGTGTATGTCTCAATTCCGTATTACGCACTTTCTTAATTCCAGATGCAATTAGACTACAGCATATAATGAAACCAAATTAAACTATGGTTTTATATCAATTCATTGCATGTCGTTGTTTCAAATTATTTCAAATATTATAGTATCGTGCAAAAACATATATGTAGAACTCTACTGTAAAAGAATACTCAAAAATAAAGCTTCGAATTATACGTACCTGTAATATTAGAATTTACAACTTCTAGCAACATGATCAATATAAAAATGGTACCTAAAGAATTGGGTAACAGAAGTTAATTTTATCCAACCTTGCAATTCAACTAACACAATAATAGGTCCCATAGCACTATAATCTATACTCGAAGAAGTGACCTTTGGACATGCCTAGTAACTAAACTTTCGCTTTAAGGTGGCTCGTTATAGTTACTACAAAAACCCTGCTCAAGAATCACGAACTCAAAACCGGGTGACCATTTTTACGCGCAAGTCGCGGAAACTGATTAACAAAATGAAAGAACTTCCAATGACCTGACGTGAGCAGTTGCTCGCGCCATATCACGCCATTGCGCGTGTTCTATAGCGTTTTAAATGAATTGCTGACGTCATTAGAATTTTCCATTTTAGAAAAACAATGCGCTATATCTCTTTATTTTGTCTGCTGTAGACCTATGTTCAAATTTGGCATGCTCTATTGCACCGCTAAAAACTTTCATTATACAAAAAATAAAAAAAATTCTGTAATGCCAAAAAAATTTTACCGAAGAATATGACATTTTCGCATTTTCTAAAAAAAAAAGGCATTACAGAATTTTTTTATATTTTGCTAATTGTTAGCTTTTCGTCCAAGTAAAATATTGCACGAAAAAAAATTGGGGGTCACCACGCTTTTTTTCCAACTATACGAGACGATAGGATATTTTGGCGTGAATTTCGTACACGTATGTCGTCATAGCAACGAACTATCTGTTACTAAACTAATATAATTTGAAAGTAGAGTTATCAAAATATATAAAAAAGCCCAATATCTGCTGAATAAATCCTAAAAATGCGTAGTTTGAACATGTCAAAGTGTTAAACACCTGAATTTTTTAAAACTGTATCGAGCCCCCTTAAGTTGCGTTAAGCAACTGCAGTGTTTAATTTAACGTTTTAACAATAAAGCATTTCATTTATTGACGTTCATTTGTTCTTTAATTTGCTGTTTCTTTAACTATTGATATATAACAAAACACTTATTTACTGAGACCTCGGGAAAGCAGTGTGTTTTTGTGTGTGTTTGAGGACCCTCGACGGTCTCGGTCTCGGGTCCACAAAACACACTGTTTCCCTCGGTCTCAGTAAATAGAGGGTCCTGAATGGGGGGTTGTATTCCCATTTTCCAGCCCAAATTTTGATTAAATCCCATTGTCCCAGAGCACAAATCCCATCATCTCAGTGGCTGTCCTGCTCAAATCTTAATCCCATTCCCATTTTCTATTGTTTTTTTGCTGATGAATCCCAGTCCCAGTGCATGAAATCTCATTTTTCCACCCAAAAATAAGCAAATCCCAGTTTGCATGTTACCCCTTCAGGGCCCTCTAAATAAGTGATAATTAGCTCAACAAGTTTATGAATTTTTATCCTGAAATGTGCCCGTAATCAATATACTTATCGTTCAAAGAAATAATAAGTAGCTATATGCAAAAAATAAAACTCTATAGCTACAATAATAGTCTTACTTTTCAGATTATTTTATTTATTTTAAGAAATTGTTTTAGAAACTGTTTCGTAAAAATTAGAAAATAAATCTATAAGCATGAAGATATTTCTGGAGCTATTTTTCTGGTTTCAAGAATTATATTCTGGCGGCCAAGAAATATATTCTTGCGATAAAAAAGTTAGGCCGTCGCTAACTCGAACTCGCGCTTAACTCGAACTCCTCGCTAACTCGAACTAAATCCAATACCAATTCCCCTTGGATTTGACACTGTTTTATATATAGTAATTTACTCGTTTAACTCGAGCTCGCTTAACTTGAACTCCTCGGTAGCTCGAACAAATTTCGTTTTCCCTTGGTCAAATTTGTCCCGTTAACTCGAACTTTGTTTTCGAGTGGTAGATCGGCAAACCTTAAAATGTCAGAACATAGCATTTTGACAACTTTTTAGGGAAAAAATTTTCTGGACGAGTATGTTGCAATTGCATGCTTTCCAGCGACTTAACTTCGACAGTTTCTCGTTTTCCCAATTCCCACTCGTGTTGATACAACTGTATCAACATGGAAAATGTCTTATATATTTGTTAATCACTTATAATCAACTGCATTACATTCATCTTGTTTAACGCTGGCAAAGACTTTATTTTGTAAAACACTGAATGCCAGGGTTGCACAAAACAAACCAAATTGGAACAGCAGTAAGGACAAGAATCGTCGACGAAAATCTAACAAGAGAGGAGAAAGTGTTAATATTAATTTCCTGATAACCTTCATTTGAAACCACCAGAAAACTGTGAATTGATGGGGAACTAACTATCTGAAAATACAAGAACAACTTCAATGTTTTGACCAATTAGGGTCGGCAAAATACATGTGACGTTTATACTTGTGAATATAAAATTGTGAAAAAAGCTCGTTTTCCCAATTTCCACTCGTGTTGATATAACTAAAAACCATGACTAGCCGACAATTTAAAAAAATAAAGTAAAAAACAAATTCCGAAAATACAGGACATCTTGAGAATTCAATATATAATTCAAAACAAGACGCAGTTTGAGACTGTAAATTTTCGACTTTATTTCAAAGTCATCTTCAGACAGAATGAAATACAATACTTTACAACACATATATATACAACGCAGAGAGAGAGCATCTGTCATGTGGGCGGAAAGAAGGATTATCCAAGCGAAGCGAAACATGATAAAGAAAATGGTAATAACTGAAAATGGAATATTTAGCTTATTTACAACAATGTTTAATATGTTTGTGTGATGTTACTCTGAGTGTATATCCACACCGGGCAGGCTTGAAAAATATGCCTGGCCACGGCGGGATTCGAACCTACGACCTTTGGAATACTAGCCCAATGCTCTTCCAACTGAGCTACGCGGTCAGGACGGTTCGAGTAAGCGATATTTCGGAACTGAGTCTAGTTCCTTCGATATCAGTGTAATCTAATATTTATGAAATATTAGATTACACTGATATCGTTGTAGTTGTTAGATTTTGTACATGTAGCTATATCAACACGGAAAATTTTTGTATCTGCGCGGAGCGCTAGATACTATGCTATCGAGTTTGTGTGTGCGTTAAACACTCAGGCGACTAATTGGAACTGTATGCCTGCGAACAGGCCGTAAAACAAAGATGGCGGCTTTCTACAGAGTGACGATTGTTTTATCCTAGAAGATCTATTATTATTTATTTATTTATTTCGCCCAATCATTATTTACATAAAAGTATAAAGCTACAACTATAAATAGGGCTAGGAGTCTAAAGAAACCTTCATATGCTTTTAAGGTAAGGCCCTAGTTTATTAAATGTCCAGTGCAA